CAAGTTGCAAACGAGATAAAAAAAAACCCTTCACACATACTGTGACTAAAGCAGAGATCACAACATCTTTGGCCTCATATCTACGTTAAAATCAAATTGTCTGATTGGAAAGGTAAGCAAGATTGTGTTTTAATTCTGCCCACTGGTATGAAACAGAAAACACACTCAAAAACGTATTTATTTTCAGTAAGGTTTCTGGGTAAATATAAGCCTAATCGTCAATCCAACTATACAAATGTGATATAGGAGACTATATACGAAGATAAAGCAGGTTTCGAAGACGCTCCTCAGATAGAATTGTTAAAAAGAATTAAATTTCGTATGAAGTGCATGATTAAGAGGTTCGTAAGTCGAACTCACGAGAAGACGCCGGCGGATTCTCGACTGCAGTAAAACCAAAATCAGCCGTCGTCTTCTGGTGAAATTGACCTTCAAATCTCTTCTTTATGCGCTTGCATACGAAATGAAACTCTTTAAAACAATGATATGGAAGAAGCCTAAGTTTGCCTAAAAATCATCCACTGCTCTGTGACTGACTGGTACTAGTGGCAGTCTGGCGTTGTGGTGGTATTTTGAAATAACATACTGCTCTGCTCGGGTTAGTTTCCCGTTGAGGGTGTTGATGAGACCTAGCGAGTTCGAAATAGCAGCCCGGGCCAGCCTGGATGGGAATAACTTTTGGAAGCGTGGCTACGAGTAGTTCACTGGTATCATGGGGCACTATGAGCATCGTGGTAAAAGTCAACTAACAGCTCTTATCAGAAACATACGAAATGTCTCAAAGTTTTCGTAAGAGAGGCATGTAGTAGTGATATGCAGACAACTAACATGGGAAGCCAGAAAAAGAGGTGGATATAAACTAAGAGGGGATAGAGATTTGTTGAGTGTCAAGGGAGAGGTAGAGAGGACAATCTCATGAACCGGCTTCATTAGTGTCGTCAGCACGACGGCGATGTGTGCATAGTGAATCATCTTAACATCAAGAGGAAATAGCATATTTTAATGCATTTCGCCTTAGTAATTTACAGCTTTTAGCAATTTCGGTATGTTGTGCACTCGAGGCACTAACCCCATGTTAAATTAGTAGACTTAATTGCAAATGGCATGGATAAATCAAATATCTACATAAATGAAGAAAAGTTGATTTTCGAAAAATACTTTAACAAATAAATGTGATTCGAAGTTTCAATTCGAAGCAAAAGTTGGCGAAAAGGGATTCGTGAAAAAGCCTCATAGGAAATTGAGGGACAATTGCTCTGGAGTGAAGACTTCTGGATAGTGTCACAAGGTGTTGTCCTATTATAAGACAATCCTGAATAAAACATCTCAACGCGAAACCGCTTGTCAAGATGAAAAGGCTTAAAAGTCCCAAATCTTTGTGCAAATGACTAATAAAGAAACATGTCCAAAATAAGGCTTCTTTAGAGGATATACAAATTTCGCATCCATGCATAAGATTAGGGTGTCTATAAAAATAAAGAAACAGCCAATATCATAAATAAGATAAATGAGTGAAAGAAATTGGGTGTGAACTCATTCTAGTTGTTATACAGGTTTATAGAATGAAGAAGAAAGAGAGAGGTAGTTAGAAAAATTGTAATATATATATATATATATATATATATACATTAGCATAAAGTAAAAGTTTAATCAGCCTGGGTCGCCTAATGTTAATTAAAGATTGATAGTTGAGTCTTCCCAGGCTAAGGTGAGTAGATTTCCCGATACCTCATCACCATTAGCAGCAGAATTCGATATCAAGTCGTGAATAGCGTGGAGTGGAGTGTAGTGATTAAATCGTTTCGGTATCCAAACCTGCTGGAGGTTGTGATAAGATCTAGGCAAGGTCGAAACTGCAGTCCATCCTGGATGAGGTAGCATTTTAGAAGACAAAGCTAAGTGGAATTCAAGTGCATCGGAAGATTTGCTCATCTTATTGTGGGAAAGCCCATCTGTTACTCCTTAAATCACCTTGAGCGACCTAGAATGACCTAGCACTTACTCAGGAATTAAGGATAATCTCAAAGATGACTTGTATCCATAAAAAGCATAAAGTAACCAACCAAATCATGGGATGCCTTAGTAAGATCGCAAAAGGTATTCCTTTATGGGGTCACCCTTTTCGTTGCCTAGTTTATTCGGTACACTTTTTCGTAAATAACGGCTTCCGATTATGATAATGTCTGTCACATGACAGACGAAAGCTGAGCACAAATTCATCGGAGCGGAGGACTTCTCAGTATAATACAATGCAGGGAAGCTAATTAATGCAGCTTTCGAACCAAATTTTCATTTGAAATGAAAATTTGAATCACAGAATCGCTTTTTCCTGAAGGTTGCCACGAAAGTCTGATAAAGCTAAGGGATGGTGGGAATTTTTGGTAATTGGAAGAAAGGTTTTGAGGATGGCCATTTCGTCACTAAATTGAACAGGCATTTTTCACTTGCCTTCTTCAAATATGCCAGCCTTCTGATAACTCTACTCCAAAACGAGTGATTCTGCCCTAAATTTTGATTCTGGTGATGTTACTAAGCCCTAATATTCAATAATTACTTCAAGTAGTTAGTAATAATGGGCAATTACTGATTAAGGGCGAATTAGTGGAAATTAATGATCACTCAATATTAGTTATTTGTTAATGAGTAACACATGATATAAAAAATAACGGGCATTGAGTTGACTAATCCGTTATTGTTAAGTTTGTACTAGTTAGCCTCCGGTGGAGGAGCCGAAAAGTAAC